CCCCCCCCCCCCTTATCACCAGTTTCTTACAAACCCGAACTGTTTGTTTTTCTTATGTTACTTGTGTACTATTCTAAATGCTCAAAAGAACATGTCAAAAAAATAAAGAAGACCGAGTACCCTTTCCCAATTTCTCCTAAATTTCAGACAATCCTTCACAAAAATTATGAGACTACCCATGTGAAAGTGTAATTTCCTCTCCCCTCCCCCCTACAGAGCAATGTTGCTCGTGATTGAGTTGAAATTCTTAAGCACAATGCTTGCAATAACAGTCAACATTGTTTTGAAGGGGGAGGGGGGAAGGACGAGCTCTTGATGGTATAAATTTGCTGATTTTATAGATAAATATGCAAGTCTCAATTTATTTTGTGAAGGATTGTAGGTTTCATATATCTATCGTTTCATATTTGTACAAATTGCTTGTGTGATGTTACTCTGAGTGTATATCCACACCGGACAGGCTTGAAAAATATGCCTGGCCACGGTGGGATTCGAACCTACGACCTTTGGAATACTAGCCCAATGCTCTGCCAACTGAGCTAGGTGGTCAGGTCGGTTCGAGTATGCGATATTTCGCAACTGAGTCTAGTTCTTTCGATATCAGTGTAATCTAATAATCATAAAATTTGCTGTGTTGGCGTAATGTACTCAGGTGAATAAGATGCTTGTGTGATGTTACTCTGAGTGTATATCCACACTGGGCAGGCTTGAAAAATATGCCTGGCCATGGTGTGATTCGACCTTTGGAATACTAGCGCAATTCTCTGCCAACTGAGCTACGCAGTCAGGTTGGTTCGAGTATGCGAGCATGCGCAAGTGGAAGTCTTGCATTTCCCACCAATTTTGATTGCATGTAATAATAAAATATGTGGTGTATCCACAAACAATAACTTTTATTGTTTATATATCACAGTGGTCGGTTGCTATGCAAATTCCTCCTGCATCAACTGGTTGGTCATGTGACACCTAAACAATGGCGCAAGCAATTTATATGAGTGGCGAAGTAGCTACAATCCTGGACAAAACATCTGCTGTGACACTTCCAATTACTTGACAAAATGTCGTAATATTATCGTAAATTTAGAAAACCTCCCCCTTTCCCCCCACCATTCAATGTTGATTGCATTCGTAGAATACGGATAAAACTTCCAACATTGTTTTGGGGGGTGGAGGGGGGCAGACGAGTAAATTATTCCGGTCTAACTGGTAATAAAAGCCACAAAGCAATGTTTTAATAGAGTGTTGCAGATGGTTTTGTCAAGGATTGTCTGAAATGAGTCGAAATTATATTCTTTTACATTTCGCTTTTTATACATGTCCTTGCCATGTGTTTCGTTTATGTGCATTCCGTATGGCCTACTTATGTTCATAATTACATCAAGTACCTTATTTCATTAATTAAATACGTCATGAATATCTTAGTGTTTTGAAAGGGTAATAATGTGTAGTAGAAACTTTTGCCGAGAAAATCGCATACGATATATTATTTTTTAGCAATTAAAAGCAACGAAATGTTTCGGAAATAATTGAGAAAGTAAAACTATCGCGTTCTAGTAGATATCATTGCAATAATTCAGAAATTAAGAAATATATATGAGTCATATTTGTTATCTGTATATTTACAGTAAGACCTGCATGACACAATAGACCGACCTAATCGACCATATGTGAGGTGCCTAGACAGACATGGCAAGCGATCAGTGCATGATCAATGTACGACCCGAAAAATATATTTCCATAAGGGTTTGTGCGACTTATATATTGATAGGTTATACATTCAGTCTATACATAATGTCTGTGATATCCAGTAGAACTAAGGGACAATAAATTCAACATATAGTTACGTTTCTGGTATTTACTGCATATATTTAAAATATTAAGTGACAACTATATAAATGTGAATTATGCATTTTGACACACATTTTCCAGGTGTGGTAAATCAATGTGTAATTTTACTCAGTGTCATACATAACGGTGTACCACCACCAATGCACTAAGACTGTGATAATATCCCCAGTTATAGGTGTAATACAAACCAATGAAATGGACTTGAAAGAACGTGTATACTGGTGCAGTGGTAGAGTATATTGTGTATATTCTGCAATACCGCGGTAACCGTGGCTTAGTGCAAATTTCGCATTCCGAAATTTGGTTTTTGTTCGGCCGTCCATGTCGCGTCAAGCCAGGTAGGCTCGAAATTAAACTTCATAGCCACCAAAGCTCAGTTCCAAAAATGCTTTGGTTTCTCCATTTCATTGTTATCCGTGCCTAAGTTTAGATTAGATAACTTCGAAGAGACATTGCCGGCCGCCATATTTGAACATACTGCTACTCTGCTGACAATGCAAGCCTGCGCTTCCGGGAGGATTTTGCATAGCAACCGACCGCCGTGTATTGTCATGCAAAATTGCAACTGAAGGTAATTTTGGGGTCGTTGTTGGGTTGTTGTGGATCATTGTGGGTCGTTGTTGGGTCGTAGTGGATCGTTGTGGGGTCGTAGTGGGGTCGTTGTGGGTACTCAGGTACATTAATGCCTGGGTCTCAGTTTGTGTATTTAGCAAAAATAGACAAAAAATCATAAAAAAATAAGTATGGCCTTGATTATTACCATCCAAGTTTTATATGAATTATCAAAGGAGATTCTAAAATTGACCTACTTTTTGTTGTCATGGCAATGATCACGTGATGTATATTTCGAAAAACAACACAAAAAATGATACGTTTTATTCAGAGTCTCTTCAGCAGTATATTTCGTGAATGAGAGGACACAGAATTGCGATAATCATTCACACATAATATCACTGTTTATTGAATAAATTCTGAAAGTTTACATTCAGGCTTCGTTTCATCATTTTATGCGGCTATATTACGATGATCGGCATCAAACGAATGTTAATCGCGTCATTAAATGTTATCAACAAATAAATGTACGGTTTCCAAATTAACGCAGGAAACTTTGTTCCCTTGTTAATGTTTTTAGCTAACAAAAATAGCAAAATTTCGTCAAATTACCCTGCTGCAAGTCAAACACGCTTTTCATGTGATGAATTTCACACGCCATAATGAAACAGTCTGCCGCTTATTGTAAGGGATATTATATTTCGAATAACAACATTCATTGCGCATTCAAGCCGATATCGTGAAGCATAGTTAATGCTTGAAGGGAAGTATGCCATGGTGGAAAAGACCGAGTGAACTATATGTGCTATAATTAATTTGTAATTCACAAGCAATTTTTCATTAAAAATAAGAAAGAGTCAACAATTAATACTGAATAATCGCAAGATAGCGCACCATATGAAGCTTTTATTTATCAGCAGTTCAAAGGTCAGCTGTCGCAAATGATACAATATAGAGCCAATTATTACATCAAAACTGAATAGTATACCAACTTCTTTGCATTGTATATTCCAAAATAATCCTGTTGCTCATATATACTATATTTTGATTTGAAGCAAGCATTCAAATTCACTAAAATTGATAAAATACTCACACAAGGGGGCGCATATTCTAACAGACGCATTACTGACAGATCACACATGCAACACGCATGCAAGATATCATCCAAGCGTGGGCAGACCCAGGCATTAACATGCCTGAGTTGAGTCATAGTGGGGTTGTAGTGCGGTCGTTGTGGATCGTTGTGGGTCGTTCCATGTTTTAGTAACTACGTTTCTATTAACCTATGATTGCATTTACTTGTGCATTATATAATATAATCACTGGCAGACACTTTGTGAAACATTGGGTGCCAGGGGGGGATAAATGTCCATCTTTTGTTTATCAGATGAGAAGACAGAATATGCAAGGTCTGTCAGTCAGGAGAAGTTGAAAGAAACATCACTTCCTAACTTCCTGTGAAGCCTATAGTAGTCTTTGTGAAAATTTTTAAAATTACTTGGAACGTGATCCCACCAATGAAGGAGATATAAACAAACACAGTTTACCAGTTGAGATAATGAAATCAACTGATAATGCATGAAACTGTGATAAAAGTATTGAAATTTATCTCTTTATGTTTTGAGAAGAGATCTAAATGCCTTGAAGCCATGAATGTTGACAGTCAACAGGCTGTTTAACTAAAACCCAAACTTCTTCAATTATACACTGTAAATAGGGTACTCGCATGTAAACTAAGTCTTCCTTCATATCAATATAAACTTCATTTCTATTTCTTGTATTACTTGATACTGACAGTATGTAATACTACCACAAAACATTTTTTTTTAATGTATTTATTTATTTATTTATTTAGCTTTGCCAACTAGGGCAGGGTCACCACAACAGCATATGCCAATTACTGTGGGCCCTTTTTACCTAACCCACCCTGTCAACTTTCCCTGTGGGAGGAAACCGGAGTACCTGGGGAAAACCCACGGCTTTCGGCAGAGCGTTGAGAAGGTACTTAGTGAGATTCGAACCTAAGCAATGCTTGTACGTAAAGTCATGCTAATAAAGTCATCTGTTATAAATTGGGAATCGAAATTAAGGAGGCAGGGGAACGAGGGAATAGCAAATTTTGGAACCAGGGCAGTGGTACGATACAAAACCAACAAAGGGCAAAACGAGGTCGAACAAGGTTGCCTGCAAATGAGGCTACATTCCGCTACCTAAGTTATTTCGTAAATTATTTGGGGGGGCACCACCCTCACCTAGTGTCTGTCCCTGAACAAAATGGGTACTTATTGGTGTAGTTACTTTTGCTTTCTATTCTTTTTCTTTCCTTTTCCTTTTCTTTCTTTCCCTTCTTCCTTTCCCCCTTTTTCTTCCTTCCCTTTTTTCTTTCTGCCAGCATAAAATATTTTCTGGGACCATGGTCCGCTATATTTTCCACCCCTGACATGCACACAATGCTTGAGAAGCAAGACAAGAACAAGAGTGTACACATATGTAAATCAAGAAAAGCAAAACAACATGTAATTGTGCCGCCTACATGCTCACAAATGTATACAAATAAAGGTTTTGCATGTGCGTGACAGAACTATATACATTCATACAGTTCATTGTCATCATCAGTGATCTGACACATATCTTTTGGCTCCTCGGCTGGCGGCTCACAGTCCTCCATCCTTGTTTGTCACTTCGTCAATAATCTTGGCTCTGATGTCTTTGTGCCAAATTGGTGTGTCACTGCCAATGTGCCATGTAAATTGATCTCAATTGTTATTTACTGTCGAATATTGAATACGTTTTATCAGACAATCTGTCATCTGTCTGCTTAAGAGAGGTTGGTTTGCCCATTGGGACCTCAAGTAAGGTGTCCACGTGCGTTAAAGAGGGGTGTCCGCTTAATAGGAGTCAAGATAAAAGTATTTTATTAAACAAAACGAATGGGACCTGAGACATGTAGGCTTAAAAGAGGTGTCTGCTTAACTCATTCTCATCCGGTCGAAATGTAGCAATTTTGAGTGGTGTTGTTTTAAACGCAAATATCTTTCAAACTATACATCGTATGGAAACAGAAATTGCATTGTTCGAAAGAGGAGAACTTCCACTTTCCAACGATATTTCAATTTCATCACAAGGTTTGGTTGACGTAATAACTTGCA